AATTGGAAAGTGAGCTGGTACGGGGGCGTCCGATGGCTTACCTGGCAAGGAGACCACCTATGCCATGTGGAGTTGCGCACTTCTTTTGCTCGCCTGGGGGGGGGGTGCTCATCAAAATGATCCACGATGTGAATGAGGCGATGCCGCCTTAGGCGCGAATCCGATCTCCAGAGATCAGAGGCTGCAACAAGCAGTCTGGACTGATAGCCTTGACGAAAAGTTGCAAAGCGTGCCCATTCAAGTTCAGAATAGAGCAGATGAACAAACATGTTGAATGGGTTCTATTTACGGATTTTGTCAAAAAGTGGGCTAGCGGGCGCAATTATCGTTTTAATCTGGACCTGTGCGATGGCCAAACTTTGGTGAAGGAGGGTTGGAAACGAGATTTGAAGTGAGAGAGGGTTAATAGGAGTAAAGACAGCTCATGAATTCAGAATGAATTGACGCTGAGCATGGAAGCCATGTTGGGCACGATGTTGGGCACGCAGCAGCTGTTTGCCACCGAACCAGTTTGTTTGGACAGCCATTCTTCCGAATGGCCTGGAGACTCCCGTTCTTCCAGCTGACAGTGGCCGTAGCTTTGACAAGGTCGGTGAACGAAGACTCCAGGGATGTGATCTCATGTGTCGCTGTTGAATGTGATGGATTGACTGAGGATACAGTCTCACTTCTCATGACGGCGCCCAAAAACCCTGAGAAGTCTAACAATGCACTCGGGCCTGCGACTGGTGGAGGCGGCCAAGGTGGCCAGCTGGGGCTGGGCCAGGTGTCGAATTTCTTGTCCAAGTCTTCGGAGCCAGATCGAATGCCACATCCAGATCATTTTGACGAAACATGGGACCGCCTCAGTGGCAAGATTGCAAAGCTCCCGTTGTGCAGAACTTTCCCCAAATATTGCGATGTCAAAGAGGTGACCTGGAAGGTCGAGGTCTTGTCCGCGGCCATGATGTGGGAATCTCTCTTGGGCGTGGGCGGCGCAGTGGTGACCCTTCAAATCCTGATGTTTTACATTGCTGGTGTTTGCTGGAACACGGGGCTTCTAGATAGACTTTGGCCAAGAGTTTTTGGTGAGGCTGATGGATCTGATGAACATGGACTCGCAACTCCAGCTTCTCGGGCTTTGGACGCTCCAGCTGAACCTCACCTGGGTGGCTGGGCATCATGGCTGCCGCCGCAGCTTGCTTGGCCCATGAAGACCTGGTGTCAATGATGGCAGCTGGGACCACGGCTGTCTCGACCCATTGCGACGATGCAACTTTACGTTGCCTTGTTGGCGTTTGAAGTGTAGAGTTTTCTTCCATTTTCTTCCCACGAAAAAAACTGCAACTCTAGATCTTCGACGGATATCTTTCTTGGATTTTTCGTGTATTCCAGATCACTCGTTAGCAACACTCGAGGTTTGCTGCGTGCTTTTGGTGGAGGTCTTGGCTTTGATGACCCCCGAGTCCTGCATCTTAGCGACGGCGGAGGTGGTGGGCCTCGTACGCAAGTACCCTGCCCACTTAGACTATATGCCCCGCTTCGGAGAGTGGCTCATGCCCAATTTCAAAGACAATGTGGATGGCTGGGTGGGTTTTCTCATCTTTCTACGGCGATTGCTGGTGATTTCTTGGAGCCTTTTCGTGCTTTTGCCACACAAAAGGAGGGGGGATTTGGCAACTCGCTCGCTTGTAACTCAGGGACCTACTTGTAGACCTTTTGGACCTCCAAGGGCTTTAGGATGCCAAGGCCTGCTTGGCTTTCCTAGGTGTGAAACAAGCGATTTCTT